TATATATATATATATATATATATATATATATAGGGAGAGGGAGCAAGGTTTGGTGTAACTGCTTACCGAGCCCACGTGAGGAGACGACCGTGCGCGCGGACAGATGTGTGAGCACGCTGTTTTGCACGTCTGATTCTTTCATCATTACTATTCATTCATTTTCTTTTTGGTGAGAGGAGATCGTGTGCTTTTGTACCTTTCCGCTACATTTTTTCCCTACAAATTTCTGGGCTACTGTGTTTTCCTTTGTTGTTGGTGATTCTCTCTCTCTCCCACCCTCGTGTGGTTTTACGGATGTTCCTCTCATAAACTTCCACCTCAACACGTGTGCAGGCGGGCGCGCGGGTGGTGCCTCTTTGCCTCCCATCTTCCTCCTCCCTGTCATTCGCTCTCGTGGACGCCATCTACAGCTACTTCTTTTTTTTTTCCCCGCTTTACTGAGATGGAGGCAACGCTTTTTGTGTTGATGACTTTGCTGCTGATGCTGCTGCTGATGCTGTTGCTAGCTGGCGGGCTGGCTGCCTGACACGCGCATCCACCATGTCGCCCTCTAGGTGGGGATGCTATTCCTGGCGCACTTCAACCTCCTCTTCTTTCTCTTCTCTTGTTTTCATTCCTCTTCAAAATTATACATACGTATGTTTTGTAGCTCTCCGCGCTCGTTTGTGGTGCCGCGCTATTTGTTTCCGGCCGCTGCACACGCACACGCACACGCACACACCACCACTCGCATCGCGTGACGGGCGAACTGCTCCATCGCAGCAACTCTCCTGTCGATTTATTTGTTTGGTTGTTTGTTTCAGCCGGGGTTGTTGTTTTTCATGTTTATAGTTTTTTTTAAGCACCGCGGTTCGACACGGAATTCTTTCTTACCTTTTATGCTTCGTTCTAGTACGAATCCTATTACTCGTCTTGTTACTTCTACACATCTGTATCGTTCTGCAGAGTCACAATGGACGGACTTGCAGTAGCGCAGCGGCCCGCGTATGCAGGCCGCGCCATCGGAGAAGCGGATGCCGCCGCCGCCTCGTCCGCCTCGCCAACGCTCTCCTCGCCTTCGAGTGCAATGGCAGCTGCCGCCACGGCACGAACGGCAGCATCCACGCAAGCCTCCCTCGCTGACCGGAGCCGTGCGTGGACCGCCGGCTTTCATCAATTAGCGCAGGACTACGAAGCGCAGCTGACGCAGCTCGTCGACGCGTACGCGCGTGTCGCGTCGGGCGGTCTCGCGCTAGGCGGAAAAGCTGACACCGCGGATGGGACAGACGCGGCGGGAGCTGCTGCGCCGCTGCTTTCCCCGCACCTGCGCCGCCGCGGGTTGGGCGGTGATGCGCGGGAAGACGCCGCCCTGGCCCTCGACATGGACGACCTCCGCCGTGCGGAGCGTGAACTGCTGCTGCAACTGCAAGCCCGTCAGCGTGCGTCGCAGCGCGCGAAGAAGTCAGCGGTGCCGAAGCAGCGCGGCAGGCCGGCGGCGACTTCTACGGCGGAAGCGCCGGGTGTGGCGGGTGCAGCGGCCCATCGCAGCAGCACGCAAAGCTCGCGCACCACGCAAGACAAGGCAGACGGGACCGCAGCTGTCGATGCCGCGGAGGCGCCTCCGTCGATTCCGGAGGAGGTGATGAACCTCTTCCGACGTGCGCGGCAACGCACCGCCGCCGCCGCGCACCCGGACGGAGACGCGGAGAAGCAAGACGCCACGAACGCCGTGCCCAGCGCGGCCGGCACCAAATGCGATGGCGACGCGGCGGACGCGGAGGAGGCGACGGCGCTGGCACGGCTGTGTGTGAAGTACTTCTTTGCCTCGGCGACGACGCCGCCGCTGCCGACAGCTCCCGCGGCGGCATCGCCACCGCAACAACCGCAGCAACCGGACCAGTCGTGGTCACCTCCCGGGAGACGCCGATCCTCACGTGAAGGCTTTTTGCAGAGCAACGCCGCAGATCTTCCATCCCAGCAGCAGCAGCAGCAGCAGCAGCAGCAGCGTCGACGTCGAGGGGAGAAGGCGTCAAGCCTCAGCCTCATTGACTCCTCGATATTTCCCCCGCCGGATCTTCACCCACACACCGCAAAACCAAAGCAGCAGCACCAGCAGCAACGCTCGTTACACCACAGCTCTTCTCTCCTCCCCGGTGAAGCCGGCAGCACCACGGGCGAGGGCAGCATCTCCATCTCTCTCAGCAGCCCAACAGCGTGGCGGAAGTTGATCGACAAGCGCACCACCGCCGCCGCTACGGCTGCCGATCACGGACAACTGTCCGGCATCAGCCCATCCACCACAGCACGAGCCCCTCCCATGCGAGACCAACCCGGTCCTCTCCAAGGTGCAGCGCTGCCGAGCCGAGACGGAAGCCACTCCGCTGCGTTCCCCCCGCCGCGATCGCACCTCACGGCGTCCACCACGTCGGAGGCGGTGGAGAGGATGAGCAGCAGCGAAAGAGATGACCCGCTGGGCGGCCGTCGGGACCTGCACAAGCCCGCGCAGCACCCATGCCGGTCCACCATAGAGCAGGCGCAACGCCTGCCGGCGCTACACCGGTGCGCGTCACCCGCAAACCCCGCTGACGCCACCACCGCAGCACCTGCCGACGCCCCCTCGCACCACTCAGCGTCGACGCCTCCACACGCCGCCCAGCAAGGTGCGCCGTCCAGCTCGCTGCGGCGTCTCCCGCGTGTGCCGCACGCTGGTGGTGCGGGAGGGAAAAATTGTGGCCGCCCTGCCGGTGTTGTACCTCTTCCTCCCCCAGCAGCGGCCCCACGCGCCACGTCGCAGCCCGCGAAAGTAACGAAGCGGCACACAAAGGGTTTGCAGGCCCTCCCGGTGGAGCTCCCCCCGCACTACCACGGCGTGCACGGAGAGGCCCTTTCCACCGCAGAACTCGAGCGTCTCGTGAAGACTGTGGCCCGCGAGGGTGAGGCGGCGCAGGGAAGTCTCGACCGCACCTACCACGCCACCGACACCGCCGCCGCCGCGCTCTACGCTCTACAGCAGTCCCTTGCCCATGTCTTGCTGGAGAACGTGCAGCTTGAGAAGGACATCGCGACGCTCCGCCGAGCCCCGCCGACGACGCAGCCGCCGGAAGGAGTACGGGGAGACGCAAAAGAAGCAGCAGCGGAGGAGGAGGAGCGAGAGGAGACGACGGCGACGTCGCCGGCGCTGATGCCGCCGCCGGTGCGGCACACGATGTTTGCCCTCCCCGCCCCCACCTCCTCGTCCGCCGCCGCCGCGGCCTTCAGCAGCGCCCTCTTCACCAACGCCTCCCATGGGCCAAAGGCGCAAAACACCAGCAAAACGACGCTGACGAGTAAACCGGAGAAGATGCGCGTCGTATCCAAAGGGAGGTGGGTCGTCACGCCTGCAAATACCGCCACTGCTGCTGCGACGACAGCAGCGGTAGTGACGATGTTGCCGCTGCCTGATGCGGTGGAACGACGCAACGACGCGCTGGCCGTGCTGGAGGAGCTACGCGCAGCGGCAGCGGCCCGGGAAGCGGAGAACGCGCAGACGTTGGTGGAGATCGACGCCCTGTCGACCCGCATCGCACGCCACGACGCCCTGCTTCAGGCGATCGCCGAGTACTGGCGTCGCAACGCCGCGGTGATGAAGCGGCAGCAGTTCGCGGTGCAGGCGCAGCCGAAAACTGCATCCGGCCCGGCCGTCTCCTGGCAGAGTGGGACCGGCGGCAGTGGTGGGCAGGAGGGTGGCAGGAGTGGCGAGGGGAGGCGTGCGTCTGGTCGGTCGTCATCCTCTCCTTCGTCTTCGTCCTCTCGATTGCCGTCGTCCACGTCGGGCGTGCAGCGCAGCGGCAGCAGCAGCAACGGCAGCTCTGTCAATCAAACAGAGGCCTCTGTTGGGATGCCGACACTGTTGGAGTCGCCGTCGCAGGTGGAGCGGGCGCTGGCCGACATGGAGGCGGTCTCGCCGATGCTGCCCAGCAGTGCCGTCTCCTTCGATCTGCACTGCAGCCCTTCGCGGACGACGGACAACTCCTCCGCCCCGCCCACGGTGCGCGCGTCAAAGCAGGTTACGGTGCGGCAACCTCCGTACGATGCAGCCGCCACAGCGGGAGAGGAGCAGGACGACGTGCAGTCTTCGGAGCAGCGAAGCCCAAAGCTAAACGGTAATCCGAATCGCGCCCCCCACCACCACCACCACCACCACCCGCCGCAGCAGCAGCAACCGCACAACCGCACGCAACGTGCAGGCGTACTGTCCGACAGCTCCTTCCCGTCGTGCGTCACGTCGAGCGGTCCTACAACGCTGACGGGCACGACGGGGGCCACCGTTCGTACGCTGTTCAGTTCGCCCGAGTCGGCCTCGGAGAGCGACAGCGACGGGGTGGAGAGGCCACAACCGAGCGCGTCAACGGTAAACGCCATCGATAGCTGCGGAAAGGGGAAAGAAGAAGACGCAGCCGAAGAACGCCATGGAAACACGTTGGCCACGGAGGACTCGGTGGTGACCTCCTCGCTGCAAGCGACGAACAGCGGGATGGAACTCGTGGTGTCTGGGCAGGCGGTAAAGCCGATCGCGCTGGCCGCCGGGTCTGCCGCGTCGCAGCAGCACGAAAGTCACCCTCGGCCCACTGCTGGGAGTTACTTCACCAGTACGAGTGCGAGTCGACGCGGGGAAGAGGAGGTGCTGCAGGTGGGCTGCTGGCGAACCATCCCCGCCTTGCAGCTGGAGAAGGTGGACGAGATTGCCGAGTTTATCTACAGCGTGTTTGAGCGAGCGTGAGAGGATCCGTGTTTAAGGTGATTCCGCTTCTCGTGTGGGCGTGTTTTGCCTTTTAAACCCAAAAAGAAAAGGGGGAGGATTTGTTTGTTCTATCCTCGCCTCTTCTCTCCTGGCGCTGTGGATAGTTATGTATAGTTCTTGTTTTGCATTTGCTCCCGCGCTCGCTAAAGCGGTTGGAGGAGGAGAGAAGGGTCTCACTTCGCCCCTTCCTCCCCTCACGTGTTTTTGAGGCGCCGTCATGGACGTCTGCCGCGGAGCAGCCGCAGTAGGCAGTGGCTTTGTCTCTGCTTTGCTGTGTGACGCAGATCGATGTAAATCGAAGAATTTTCCTTGTGCACCTCGCATGGGAAAATAACCCCAAAATATATATATATATGTCCAGCAGCGTATGCTCTTATGTTACTTAATAGTTAGATTTACAAGGCATGCCACTGTGTAGCGTCGTTATCAGTCGATCAACAATACAGATAATGGAAGACTGTTTCTCGGCGTTGGGTCATTCCCACCTTCGTCATCGTTAAGTGCTTTGCGACACCGCAGTGCCACCGTCTTGCCTCCACGGTGGATGAAGAAGGTCTTGTATCTTTCATGTATTGTCTGGCGCAGGAGTTTCCCACGAACGACGTCCTTCCTTTCTACATGTTTATGTTTCTGTTGCCGGTGTCCGCCCTCTTCTTTATGGAGGGCGGGCAATGCGGTGAAGAAGAAGAAACGGGTTTGAAGTTCTCCGCTCACATCCCCGCCTACCTCCAAATCCCTCCCCCCCCCCCTTCCCCAACTCCGCCCCTCTCCTCTGTCGTCCCTCGCCAGATCATAGAAGTAGACAACGCACACACACACAAATAGGTTTATGTATTTAAAACTGTCGCACCGACTCCGCTCATCTATTCTGTCGACGTTTACCGTATTTGAGGGGACTGTCCTCTCACTCGTACCATTCTGTGACGTCGTCGACGTCGCTCGTTTAACGCACACACGCGCTGACATGCACTCCTCCCACGCGAAGCCGCCACGGTCGGGCCGGCGCGCCGGCAACACGTCTCTCCTCGCACGGGTTCTACGCCGCTGCTTCCCGCACTTCTCTCTCCGCCGCGCGGTGCGCTACGGCAACGCACCCGCGCGCCGCTTCTTCATTTGTGCTCTGTTGCTTCTCATTGCGTTGCTGCTCGTCCTTCTCGTTGTCTTGTGCGTGCACCTCGTCATTGCTGAAAACGAAAGAATTGCCGCGTACCTGCACCTCACCGGCGTCTCCGACGGCTCGCCACCGGATAAAAAAATCTTGCTCCTCGAGAGCGCACCGCCGGCGGAGGTGCAAGAGCTGCGTGCGAGCTTGAAGCGCTTCGCGCCGCGCACACGAGGGCCCGTGCCACGCCTGCGGCAGAACCGGTTTCTGACGTCGTACTTCGACCTGGAGGAGCGCGTGCTGCCGCCGCTCACCAAGTCAGCGCTCGAAGCGTGGTTTTCCCACGAGTCCGCATCTCCAGGCGCGGCGGAAGATGTTCTGCTTCAGCACGCCTGGGGAAACACCTCCTCCGCCGCTGCGGCACACGACGCGAACGCCGATCATGATCTGTTCCATCTACTCGCCTTTCTCTACCCACCGCAGCAGCAGCAGGGCTACTACCGCGCCGCTCTGAACGGTATTATCGGATTTGGCCCTCGCGTTGGTGGCACGCGGCGGGAGCCGCTACTGCACCACCTGCTGCACGAAGGCCTTGGACGTGCCCATTACGACGCGGCGCAGCACCGCTACCGCAACGCGCCGCATCTTAGCGAGAAGGGAGTTGAATTGTTGGAGAAAGCGGCGTCGACGTGGCCCTCCGCGCCCGACTTCGCTCCTGCGGCTGCCGCCGGTGCGAAGGAGCAGAACACGCACGAAACAGATCGCGTTGCCGGCTGGCGCTGGTCGCTTGTGTGGGACAACTTCTCCGCCCCGGTGCCCATCGCCGTGGAAGGCCAGTTCTTCTCCCCCTCGGTGAATCTACAAAACTTGGTGTTCCAGTTCCCTGGGGGGTCGCAGTTCCGCCGCAAGAGAGCAGCGCTGGCGCGTCCCGACGACGTCTTTGTCGGCCGCCGCTGCAACCCCCTCGCTGTCGATCCCGCGCAACGCCAAAATATGTTCCCCGCTGAGACGTACTCGCGTAACGATACCGAGGGCATGTACGTGCAGGAGTGGTTTATCGGCCGTGGCGAGCACCCGATGCTGAGCTTCTATCAACCCAGCCTGCATCGCGGGAAACCGGGAACCGTCGTCGAGATCCACACCCCCGGGCAACCCGTTCCGTTGAAGCCGCCGCTGTCCTTCCCCGTGGCCGATCCCGTCTCCCGCCAGCCGATACGGCACGCCGTGTACGCCGCGCACTGGGACTCGATGCGTAGCGCCACCTTCCGCTTCCTCGGTGCGTGCGACTCGGCGGTGCCGATGGTGTACCTCCTGCGCACCATCAAGAACATCGCCGTTCTGACCGACGTGGCGGAGGCGCTGACGGAGTCCTACAAGGAGGAGCGCGTTGGCGCCGGCGGCGTGGTAGCCGAGGGCGTCGTGGTGCCGGGACTCACCGCCACGTTTCGCAGATCCACCACCGCAGCGGAGGTGCGCGCGCGGCTGGCACGGCTGCTCTCCCCGGCGCACCACGCGCTTTTGTTTCAGTACTTCTTCGCGCGCTCCTACACTGTAGGCAGCGACAACCACACCACCGGCGCCGCCGGCGCGACGGACAACTACGCACACGAGGTAGAGGTGGACGTGCGGCGGTGGTTGGACTGGGCACAGCACCTGCCTGCGCTGTCCATCGTGCTCTTCGATGCGGAGGAGGCGTTCAAGAAGTGGGAAGGCAGCGACCACACCTACGGCTCTCGCCACCTGGCGCAGCAGTGGCGGGCCTTCACGACGGCAACGCAAACACGCTACTCCGGTGGTCCGCAGTCGCTGTTTGACGCTGTCGACCTGTTCGCCCTCTACGACCTCATGGGGCCGGCAGGTACGAACTTTCCAAACTTTTTCCCCACGCAGAGCGGGATCTACTACGCCGCGCTCGCGCAGAGGGAGACGGAGAAGCGGCGGCGTGCGTTTCGCGACGCGTCGGCCATCACGGCGGAGCTGCTGTGGCGGGTGATGGGCGAGCCGAACGCGGGAGCAGGGGCGGGAGAAAACGCGTCCACGGCCCAGTACTTGCGTCAGCTGGGTACCTCCGTCGACGTCGCCGTTGCCGCCTTGGCGAAGCAGCACGTGACGAAGGTGTTGGCCGCCCCGTCGTCACGCCCAACGCTGGAAATGCTGCCGCGGCCGTGGCTGATGTACGGCACCCCGCACGAGATGCTCACGTTGCACCGCATTTCCTTGCCCGACTTTCGTGAAGTGCACAGCGGCATCGGTTCGGTCACATCCTATCGGGTGTTCGACAGCGTGAGCGCTGACTTGGTAGCGAAGGCGGACTTCGACGTCTCTGAGTACTTGCGGACGACGAACGAGAACATTTTCTTCGAAGCGACGCGCGCCACGCAACTGCGCCGCCTTAGCGCCGATCCCGTGCTGGAGGACGACCACCTGCACTGGCTCGACACACAACGTGTTCTGCATCTCATCCCTTCTCCGTTCCCCCAGTCCTGGCATACGCAGAGCGACGACGGGCAGGACATTCATGATGGCACCACGGTGGACCTCGCGAACGTGCTGTGGTCCACTGTCCTGGAGTTGGGACACTACTGGACCGGAGCGGAGGACGTTGCGAAAGCGGAGGTGCTGTCAGACAAATAAAGGCAGAAGAAACAAACGTAGAAGTGGAGAGGAATTGGAGGGAGAGAGGGAGAGAGAAAGAGCGACGTGAAAGTGAAGTGTCGTTGCGTTCTTTGTTTTTTGTTTTGTCACCGTTATCGTGATCGCGGTTTAGCACGTTCGCCGCTGTTCTCTCTCTCCTCTGCTCCTGTTGTTTGTCACGTGCGTGAGAGTTTTACCCGGATAGCGCTGCTAAGGCCGATGTTTTTGGTTTTCCCTCGCCCCCTTCCCCCAACTGACCATCCCCTACATCACCGCTACACGGATCTGTGTGTCGTGGGGGGGGGGGTCAATAACGTATGTGTATATCCTCGCTTCGCAGTTCTCACGCACCGTAGAAGCCGCGTTATTCGTCGCAGCCATCCTTACTTCAATTATTTCTTTTCAGTGTTTCATGTTGCCGCTTTACTATCTATTCTTTTTGCTTGTTTGTTTTGTTCTCCCCAACATCTGCAGAACGCTAACGGAAGAAGTCTCCGGAGAAACATGCACCGCGTCGAGCAGCGTCGCGGTATTCGCAGCACGTTTCCTGTTCCCTGCGCTCCCCTCCTCTCCCGATTGTGCTGGGGGGGGGGGGAAGCGAATGGTATCTATCCTGCACGGTCGCAGTGACCTTCTCTGCTGTCTTGATTTCGTTACTCTTCTTCTCTCTTCTCCTCTTTTTTGGGGGTGCGGGATACGGTTGGTGGGTTGGTTGGGGTGCTGATACCGCTCACGTTGCACAGAAGAATATTTACCTCCACGCTCTTGCTTTGCTGATTTGCCTTCCAACGTGAGTTCGCGACTCGTATCGAAAGCCACAAGAGGACGAAAACACACATTTTCCTGTTGTTACTCCTTTTCCCCCTCTTCCAGTTGCTGACGTGTCGTTTGCATCATTCAACATCTTTTATTAGTATTATTATTATTGCTATACATTTCCATACGTGAACGCGCGCGCCCCCTATGTCCCAGAAATCGCTCTACGTCACGCCTCGTGCGGTGCCGTACTGCACCCTCGCCATCGCCAACGCCTTCAAGGACTTGACCTCGAAGCAGCGGCACTACGCTCACCACATGATGATGGCCGGGTGGTGCGGCGCCCCTGTCGTGGCTCAGCAGCTCAGTCCCGAGTCGCTCCCCCTTCTTCGCTTCTTCTACAAGTTTCTCAGCGCCCAGCCCCTCGAGGCTCTGCGGGCGAACACGGCGAGCGCCGGCGTGGCGGCGGAGGCGGTCGAGCAGTTCCTCGAGTACTTTGCGTTGGTGTACTCGAACATGGGCAACTACATGTCCTTCGGCGACAGCAAGTTCATCCCGGCCGTGCCTAAGGAAACCTTCGCGAAGATCGTCGCGAGTGCTGACGCGGCCGCGACGATGGACGCCGCGCTGCTCGACGCGATCTACGACCTGCACGAGAGCAAATTGACGCTGGACTTCCCGCCCAAAGGCAGCACGCGGTACTACAGCCCGAACATCACCCGCGAGGACGCCCTCGTCGCGAATGAATTTCTCGCCTCGAAGAAGATCGACGGCGTCAACACGCGCGTGTTCAAAGAGGACGACGGCACGCTGGTGATCCGCGTGGCGGCGGCGGAAGAGAAGACGGTCCCGGCGGTGACCTTCAACGGCCGCGCCGTGGCGATGCACTTCGGTGACTTTAAGGAGGAGATGGCCCGCGTCGTGGGCGAGCTGCGCCAGGCGCGCGCCTACGCGGAGAACGACATCGAGGTGCGCATGCTGGACCACTACATCGAGCACTTCTTGCACGGCGATGTCGACGCGCACAAGGCGAGTCAGAAGGAGTGGGTGAAGGACGTCGGCCCCACCGTGGAGACAAACCTCGGCTTCATCGAGTCGTACCGCGACCCGTCCGGCGTGCGGGCGGAGTGGGAGGGCTTCGTGGCCGTCGTGAACAAGGAGCAGTCGAAGATGTACGGTGCCCTGGTGGCACAGGCTGAGAAGTTCATTGCCCAGCTGCCGTGGGGGGCGGCCTTCGAGAAGGACGTCTTCACCAGCCCAGACTTCACCAGTCTCGATGTGCTTGGCTTCGCCAGCAGTGGCATACCGGCGGGCATCAACATCCCGAACTACGACGACATTCGCCAGAACGTTGGCTTCAAGAATGTGTACCTGTCGAACGTGGTGGGCGCAATTACCTTCAAGGAGAAGGTGAACCACATCACGGACGCCGACTGGGAGGTGTACAAGACGAGCGTGCTTGCGGCGACGTCGGTGAACGTGGGCATCCACGAGCTGCTCGGCCACGGCACTGGCAAGCTGCTGACGGAGGACGACGACGGCCGGCTCAACTTCGACAAGAACACGATCGACCCCATCAGCGGCCACCCGGTCACGTCGTGGTACAAGCCCGGCGACACCTACTCCAGCGTGTTTGGCGGCATGGCCAGCTCCTACGAGGAGTGTCGCGCCGAGGCCGTCTCGCTGTACTTGTGTCTGCAGCCGGCGCTCTTGGAGATCTTCCACCTCACGACGGCACAGGAGCAGCAGGACGCGATTTACATTTGCTGGCTGAACATGGTGCGCGCCGGGCTGTGCGGATTGGAGTTCTACACCCCGGAGACGCAGCAGTGGCGGCAGGCCCACATGCGGGCGCGCTTCTGCATTCTCGAGGCCCTCGCGCGTGCGCCGAACCCGATCGTCCACATCACGGAGGATGAGAAGGACGGCCTCCTCATCACCCTCGACCGCGAACGCATCGCGACGGACGGCCGCAAGGCGATCGGCGATCTCCTGGTGAACCTGAACGTGAACAAATCAGCGGCGAACGCGACGCGCGGCGGGGAGTACTACCGCGACATGACGACCGTGAACGACACCTACGTGCGCTACCGCGAGATCGTCATGGCGCGCCGCAAGCCGCGCAAGCAGTACGTGCAGCCGCACACGCGCATCGTCGCTGACTCGGTCGAAGTGGAGGAGTTCGCCGGCTCGGTGGAGGGCGTCGTGAAGTCCTTCCTGACCCGCCACAGCGCGGTGCCTCTGTAGATGCTCCTACGAAGAGGAGGAAGCCTGCACGGTTGCTGCACCCAGACGTGTTGGGGAGAGAGGGAGAGGGGGAGGGGGTTTACCGTGTCACACCTGTTGTTCAATCCATGCCGTGGTGCGTAGCTGCGGGAACGCGTGCGGTTTTGTTTTGTTTTGGGCGAGTGCGACCCAACGAAGTGACACGACCGCGTGGCTCCACCTAAATCTCCATGAGACGGCATCGAAGTGGTGTTTCTGTTTCGGTGTTGGTCCCGGCTTCATCGCTACAGCTTCCGTGGGTGCTAACTACTCTGTGCGCACATTTAACGGGTTCTTTATATTAAACATGAGCGATGAGCGTCCTTTAACGACACTCTTTCCGCTCTTTCTTTTGTTCTTCTGATATCGGTAACGTTGAAAAATGAATGGATTATTCCTCCTCTTGCCCAAACTAAAGCCCCTTTCGCTCCCCCAAACAATCGAAAATAATATAGAATAATAGTAGTAGTAGTGGTGGTGGTGAACCCGTGAGAGGATAGCAGAAGCGGAAATAGAGTAAGCGCGCACACACTCGATTGGACGTTGGAAGAGAAGACGGTGTCCCCCTCAGCCGCACAGACGCTGCGGCGTGCTTCAAACACCAACGCACACCCTGCACTTCTGCTTCTTCCTTTGCGCCTCCCACTCTTCTCTCGCCACAGCTGTGCCCTGCAAAAGAGCGGTCGAAAAAACCGCCAAAAAAAGGCTTTGCGACGACGCGTGGGGCTCAAGTGCTGACATGCTCCGCGGTGTGATTCTGCAACGGCAGACGTGCGCGGGGTGGGCTGTTCCGTTGCCGGCCTGACCCTCTTCCCCTACTTTAACGGCGGACGCGCAGCACCCCTCTGCAGGGGGGCACGCCGCACCGACACACAGCCAAGCAGAGCACCGCGTCAACGCAGCAGAACACCCTTGCTGGTCCACGTCCTCCCCGCTCCACCTAAGAAGCCCCCGAAGGTTACAGAGCAACGCTCCGGCTTAACAACCCGTATGAGCTCAACACCTGGCGGACCAGCTTGCCGTCTCCGGCTGTTTTGATTATATACGTGTCTGTGACGCTGTACTTTTCTACAACAAGTCCGTGTGGCTCAATGGAAGAGCATCTGACTACGGATCAGAGGGTTGCAGGTTCGAATCCTGTCACGGATGACTTTTTCGGGGCGGCCCCTGGGGCGGGGAAACCCCCACGGCATTCGAAACCACCGAACCCCCCCCCGCCCATCACCAAGTCATGAGAACGGAAAACAGAAGGAAAGAAACGGAAAGATAAATGCGTTTTCAGGGTTATACAGAAGACAGAAGTAGAAAGATAAGTAGAAGTAGAAATAGTAGTAGTTATACGATTTGCCAGATAATACGTAAACAGAGAAGTAGGGTGAAGACACAAAACAATCAGAAGAAGACACAATGGTTCGCGGGGACACGCGGTCGCCCACGCATCGCCACCGGAGCACGGCTCCCTGTCAAGAGGACAGCAACGTCCAGGGACCGGTCCGCAACCAGGAAAGCACTCAGACAGCACGATCGGAAGCAAAGGAAAGAAAAGGGAAACAAATCGAAAGGAAATGAAGATGCCGCGGTGAAGCCGGTGAAAACAGACAGGAAACGACAAAACAAGGGAGCTACAAAACTACGAAACCAGGGGAAACTACAAAGCTATCAACGTAACGCGGGCAAGCCGCACCTACCGTCGCAGATTCAACGAATCCGGGGTAGAAAGGCAATGGGCAATGAGCGATGAGCTCGCCGAAGAAGCGCTGTTCCTGCGGGAGCAAGCATTCATAGATGTGCCAGTTGTGGTACTCGACCATTCTATCGCTTGGTGCAAAGAGGAGCTGCAAAATCCGCGTTCTGCCAACCTCCTTCTTCGTCTTGAAGAGGAGAGATACATGCAAACCAATACGACCATCGGCGACAATTGCTTATGCTTCGCCATGCGCAGAAATTTCTCCTTGATCTTGTCCTCCGTCAGGTCCGGGCAATCTGCCCAGAAGTTCTGCGCTTCCTGGAGGCCGATCTTCCACGGGGACAGCTGGTAGTCGGCCTGCTCTGCCAAATACGACACGGCGGTCCTTGACACCCCTTGCTGAGGCGAACGACGGCGTCCTTCACCAGGACATTGTGCGCCGCCTCCGTGATGCCCTGTGCCTCAAGGCGTTGAGTCAACGTCTTCAGATCCCCGGCTAAGAGACGCCGTCATCCTCGGAAATCGCACGGGTGAGTACACATACGAATGAAGATCTGCTGATCTCAACACTACTTCTGCTCGCTACGCATTTGTGATGTTCACCAGGCATTTCAAGGAGGGAAGAAGGAATACAGACGGGAAAAACTGCAGAATCCTAACAAAAAAAACGATCTGCCGCCTCCCAGACCAGGGCAACATGGCCCATTCCCGGTCGTAGATGGAAACCATGAGAACTCCTGCTCCTAACACGCTCGTCGCAATTCGCAGGTAATCTTGCCCTCCAGTTTCATGCACGGTGCCTATGTGGTTTGCGGCACGCGCACTACAGTAAGGGCTTGGGTTGATGTTGATGTGGTTGGTGATGTTTGGGATGTGTAACGCATGGTTGGTTGCAGACTCGTCATGGCCCCGACGGGGCTGGAGCGCACACAGGATATGCGTAACGGGAACCGCGGCGCGGCGGAGCGTCAGGCACGTGCGAGACGCACCGAGCATCACACCGCGCGCGCACCCCTTGCTCTGTGGCCCCCCACAGTGGCGACGCCGGCACGCACGCGGCGCGGCACGCGCCACACGAGGTGGGCGCGCTCACACACACGTGTGCGCACCGGCGCCGCTGCAGCTCGAAGCCGTACGCCCAGCATGCACCGACAAGCGGCACGGGCGCCTTCGAGGTGACGGGGCCAGTGGGCCGTCGCGCCGCCGCCCGCCCACCGTCACGCAGGCGGACGCGCGCGAGCGCAAGCACGCAGCAATACAGACACACACACACACACACACACACACACCGGTGGGCAGCCAGCAGCAGCGAAAGCAAGGTGGTCAGACGAGGCGGGTTTGGTTTCACGGCGTACGCCACTCAAAGTCCATCTGCGACGGCTTTACATCAGCCTGGGTTTCGATCATCTCCACACACCGCTGCGGCCGCTGCACCCGCACGTCCACACATCCACACGTCCACACACACGCTGCGGTCAGACTGGGGCGACAATAAATGGTATCATGGGAACTCAAAGTCTGTGATGTTACAGTCAATCATCATGCGCAGCGCGTCTCCCGCTCTCCCTTCCTCCCCGCATTATGCACACGCCACGGCAGCACATCTCAGAGTGGTGCATGATAGTGTCTCAGTCAGGGCTCCTGTTGCATGCGTGAACACGCCTGAATCATTTTTGTGCATCCTGCGTGCGTGCCGTTCGTGTGCCCCGCCGCACCTCCCTTCACACACTCCTCCTCCTCCTCATCCTCCTCCTCCTCTCTCTCACTCTCTCGTGCGGTTTGAACCAGTGGCGCGGATGGGTCGCACCATCGCCACTTTACCTGACCGCACTGCGCGACTGCGCGCGGGGCGGCGGCCAGCGAGGCCGAGCACCGCTGCTCCTTCTCCTTCCCTCTCCTTCCTTTTCCGCTCGTCGCATCTCGTACGACACTGGCGGACAGCGCCGGCACCGAGTGAATACGCCGAGGCGCGTCCGTGTTTAATCGTACTGCTGCTGCTGCTGCTGCTGCCGCGGCGGCGCGCGTGCGTGCGTGGGCGTCAGTGCAGATTGCTCATGTATTGGACGTTGTCGTTCAGCGATGCATCAGGTCAAACTGTGCTTTGTTGTCGAATTGTCTGTCATCCCTCGCACACACGCACGGCACATTCGCAGGTAATCTTGCCCTCCAGTTTCATGCACGGTGCCTATGTGGTTTGCGGCACGCGCACTACAGTAAGGGCTTGGGTTGATGTTGATGTGGTTGGTGATGTTTGGGATGTGTAACGCATGGTTGGTTGCAGACTCGTCATGGCCCCGACGGGGCTGGAGCGCACACAGGATATGCGTAACGGGAACCGCGGCGCGGCGGAGCGTCAGGCACGTGCGAGACGCACCGAGCATCACACCGCGCGCGCACCCCTTGCTCTGTGGCCCCCCACAGTGGCGACGCCGGCACGCACGCGGCGCGGCACGCGCCACACGAGGTGGGCGCGCTCACACACACGTGTGCGCACCGGCGCCGCTGCAGCTCGAAGCCGTACGCCCAGCATGCACCGACAAGCGGCACGGGCGCCTTCGAGGTGACGGGGCCAGTGGGCCGTCGCGCCGCCGCCCGCCCACCGTCACGCAGGCGGACGCGCGCGAGCGCAAGCACGCAGCAATACAGACACACACACACACACACACACACACACCGGTGGGCAGCCAGCAGCAGCGAAAGCAAGGTGGTCAGACGAGGCGGGTTTGGTTTCACGGCGTACGCCACTCAAAGTCCATCTGCGACGGCTTTACATCAGCCTGGGTTTCGATCATCTCCACACACCGCTGCGGCCGCTGCACCCGCACGTCCACACATCCACACGTCCACACACACGCTGCGGTCAGACTGGGGCGACAATAAATGGTATCATGGGAACTCAAAGTCTGTGATGTTACAGTCAATCATCATGCGCAGCGCGTCTCCCGCTCTCCCTTCCTCCCCGCATTATGCACACGCCACGGCAGCACATCTCAGAGTGGTGCATGATAGTGTCTCAGTCAGGGCTCCTGTTGCATGCGTGAACACGCCTGAATCATTTTTGTGCATCCTGCGTGCGTGCCGTTCGTGTGCCCCGCCGCACCTCCCTTCACACACTCCTCCTCCTCCTCATCCTCCTCCTCCTCTCTCTCACTCTCTCGTGCGGTTTGAACCAGTGGCGCGGATGGGTCGCACCATCGCCACTTTACCTGACCGCACTGCGCGACTGCGCGCGGGGCGGCGGCCAGCGAGGCCGAGCACCGCTGCTCCTTCTCCTTCCCTCTCCTTCCTTTTCCGCTCGTCGCATCTCGTACGACACTGGCGGACAGCGCCGGCACCGAGTGAATACGCCGAGGCGCGTCCGTGTTTAATCGTACTGCTGCTGCTGCTGCTGCTGCCGCGGCGGCGCGCGTGCGTGCGTGGGCGTCAGTGCAGATTGCTCATGTATTGGACGTTGTCGTTCAGCGATGCATCAGGTCAAACTGTGCTTTGTTGTCGAATTGTCTGTCATCCCTCGCACACACGCACGGCACATTCGCAGGTAATCTTGCCCTCCAGTTTCATGCACGGTGCCTATGTGGTTTGCGGCACGCGCACTACAGTAAGGGCTTGGGTTGATGTTGATGTGGTTGGTGATGTTTGGGATGTGTAACGCATGGTTGGTTGCAGACTCGTCATGGCCCCGACGGGGCTGGAGCGCACACAGGATATGCGTAACGGGAACCGCGGCGCGGCGGAGCGTCAGGCACGTGCGAGACGCACCGAGCATCACACCGCGCGCGCACCCCTTGCTCTGTGGCCCCCCACAGTGGCGACGCCGGCACGCACGCGGCGCGGCACGCGCCACACGAGGTGGGCGCGCTCACACACACGTGTGCGCACCGGCGCCGCTGCAGCTCGAAGCCGTACGCCCAGCATGCACCGACAAGCGGCACGGGCGCCTTCGAGGTGACGGGGCCAGTGGGCCGTCGCGCCGCCGCCCGCCCACCGTCACGCAGGCGGACGCGCGCGAGCGCAAGCACGCAGCAATACAGACACACACACACACACACACACACACACCGGTGGGCAGCCAGCAGCAGCGAAAGCAAGGTGGTCAGACGAGGCGGGTTTGGTTTCACGGCGTACGCCACTCAAAGTCCATCTGCGACGGCTTTACATCAGCCTGGGTTTCGATCATCTCCACACACCGCTGCGGCCGCTGCACCCGCACGTCCACACATCCACACGTCCACACACACGCTGCGGTCAGACTGGGGCGACAATAAATGGTATCATGGGAACTCAAAGTCTGTGATGTTACAGTCAATCATCATGCGCAGCGCGTCTCCCGCTCTCCCTTCCTCCCCGCATTATGCACACGCCACGGCAGCACATCTCAGAGTGGTGCATGATAGTGTCTCAGTCAGGGCTCCTGTTGCATGCGTGAACACGCCTGAATCATTTTTGTGCATCCTGCGTGCGTGCCGTTCGTGTGCCCCGCCGCACCTCCCTTCACACACTCCTCCTCCTCCTCATCCTCCTCCTCCTCTCTCTCACTCTCTCGTGCGGTTTGAACCAGTGGCGCGGATGGGTCGCACCATCGCCACTTTACCTGACCGCACTGCGCGACTGCGCGCGGGGCGGCGGCCAGCGAGGCCGAGCACCGCTGCTCCTTCTCCTTCCCTCTCCTTCCTTTTCCGCTCGTCGCATCTCGTACGACACTGGCGGACAGCGCCGGCACCGAGTGAATACGCCGAGGCGCGTCCGTGTTTAATCGTACTGCTGCTGCTGCTGCTGCTGCCGCGGCGGCGCGCGTGCGTGCGTGGGCGTCAGTGCAGATTGCTCATGTATTGGACGTTGTCGTTCAGCGATGCATCAGGTCAAACTGTGCTTTGTTGTCGAATTGTCTGTCATCCCTCGCACACACGCACGGCACATTCGCAGGTAATCTTGCCCTCCAGTTTCATGCACGGTGCCTATGTGGTTTGCGGCACGCGCACTACAGTAAGGGCTTGGGTTGATGTTGATGTGGTTGGTGATGTTTGGGATGTGTAACGCATGGTTGGTTGCAGACTCGTCATGGCCCCGACGGGGCTGGAGCGCACACAGGATATGCGTAACGGGAACCGCGGCGCGGCGGAGCGTCAGGCACGTGCGAGACGCACCGAGCATCACACCGCGCGCGCACCCCTTGCTCTGTGGCCCCCCACAGTGGCGACGCCGGCACGCACGCGGCGCGGCACGCGCCACACGAGGTGGGCGCGCTCACACACACGTGTGCGCACCGGCGCCGCTGCAGCTCGAAGCCGTACGCCCAGCATGCACCGACAAGCGGCACGGGCGCCTTCGAGGTGACGGGGCCAGTGGGCCGTCGCGCCGCCGCCCGCCCACCGTCACGCAGGCGGACGCGCGCGAGCGCAAGCACGCAGCAATACAGACACACACACACACACACACACACACACCGGTGGGCAGCCAGCAGCAGCGAAAGCAAGGTGGTCAGACGAGGCGGGTTTGGTTTCACGGCGTACGCCACTCAAAGTCCATCTGCGACGGCTTTACATCAGCCTGGGTTTCGATCATCTCCACACACCGCTGCGGCCGCTGCACCCGCACGTCCACACATCCACACGTCCACACACACGCTGCGGTCAGACTGGGGCGACAATAAATGGTATCATGGGAACTCAAAGTCTGTGATGTTACAGTCAATCATCATGCGCAGCGCGTCTCCCGCTCTCCCTTCCTCCCCGCATTATGCACACGCCACGGCAGCACATCTCAGAGTGGTGCATGATAGTGTCTCAGTCAGGGCTCCTGTTGCATGCGTGAACACGCCTGAATCATTTTTGTGCATCCTGCGTGCGTGCCGTTCGTGTGCCCCGCCGCACCTCCCTTCACACACTCCTCCTCCTCCTCATCCTCCTCCTCCTCTCTCTCACTCTCTCGTGCGGTTTGAACCAGTGGCGCGGATGGGTCGCACCATCGCCACTTTACCTGACCGCACTGCGCGACTGCGCGCGGGGCGGCGGCCAGCGAGGCCGAGCACCGCTGCTCCTTCTCCTTCCCTCTCCTTCCTTTTCCGCTCGTCGCATCTCGTACGACACTGGCGGACAGCGCCGGCACCGAGTGAATACGCCGAGGCGCGTCCGTGTTTAATCGTACTGCTGCTGCTGCTGCTGCTGCCGCGGCGGCGCGCGTGCGTGCGTGGGCGTCAGTGCAGATTGCTCATGTATTGGACGTTGTCGTTCAGCGATGCATCAGGTCAAACTGTGCTTTGTTGTCGAATTGTCTGTCATCCCTCGCACACACGCACGGCACATTCGCAGGTAATCTTGCCCTCCAGTTTCATGCACGGTGCCTATGTGGTTTGCGGCACGCGCACTACAGTAAGGGCTTGGGTTGATGTTGATGTGGTTGGTGATGTTTGGGATGTGTAACGCATGGTTGGTTGCAGACTCGTCATGGCCCCGACGGGGCTGGAGCGCACACAGGATATGCGTAACGGGAACCGCGGCGCGGCGGAGCGTCAGGCACGTGCGAGACGCACCGAGCATCACACCGCGCGCGCACCCCTTGCTCTGTGGCCCCCCACAGTGGCGACGCCGGCACGCACGCGGCGCGGCACGCGCCACACGAGGTGGGCGCGCTCACACACACGTGTGCGCACCGGCGCCGCTGCAGCTCGAAGCCGTACGCCCAGCATGCACCGACAAGCGGCACGGGCGCCTTCGAGGTGACGGGGCCAGTGGGCCGTCGCGCCGCCGCCCGCCCACCGTCACGCAGGCGGACGCGCGCGAGCGCAAGCACGCAGCAATACAGACACACACACACACACACACACACACACCGGTGGGCAGCCAGCAGCAGCGAAAGCAAGGTGGTCAGACGAGGCGGGTTTGGTTTCACGGCGTACGCCACTCAAAGTCCATCTGCGACGGCTTTACATCAGCCTGGGTTTCGATCATCTCCACACACCGCTGCGGCCGCTGCACCCGCACGTCCACACATCCACACGTCCACACACACGCTGCGGTCAGACTGGGGCGACAATAAATGGTATCATGGGAACTCAAAGTCTGTGATGTTACAGTCAATCATCATGCGCAGCGCGTCTCTCTTTGTTAGTTGGTTGTATGTGGTTGTTGGTTTTTGTTGGTGGCGGTGGTTCGTTGTAGCACTTTGTGGAGGGTAAAAGGTGCGTGTTGTTTCGATGATGGGTCAAGTCTTTATCGGGATCGTGAACTAGAGATGGAATGTGATGTTTGGACAAGGTGGACAAGACATCTGTGATGATTTCGGTGGTGTGGTGGATCCACTGGCGTTCCTGTACTACCAACAAGAAGGAGAGAACGATAGAAGGCAGAGGTGTGTTCGAGAGATGTGGGTTTTGTTTTCCGTAGGTCACGAGTGTGACGGAGCAGGAAGGCGGTGCATGGAGAAAAGAAGAAACCCAAGGACGGTTCATGTGTGCTTTTTCGTGAGAGCTATTGGCCTCTCTGCGTAGGAGCGGTGCCTTCGTGTTGCATATGCCGGTCGGCAATGGACGTACTATCTGGACACGTTGAATGTCTACAAGCAGGCGTAGGTGGCGGATTCGCCCAGCGCGGTAGACGCTCAAGGAGAAGCATAAATACCTTTTGGACTGCTGTCTTATTTTTAGTATATATCGAGGCTTTCTTCCTAAGCGCTGAAAAAAGGCATTTTCTCTCGTAAAAAATAAAAGGAAGACATTCAATAATTAGACACATGAAAAAAGTAAAAGGCAGGCCAAGTTGAGGTGAATAAGCTCTTAATGAGAGTATAGGCACTACTCGACAAAGCAAACATTCGCTAAGGCATTTCCAACCTGCTGATTGAAGAACCAGCGTCAAGGCTTGCCATCAAGTAATGCATGCGGGTTTTTTTTTCACCAGCGAAGCCGGAAAGAGTAAACGTGGAGAAAAGAAAAAAATTTGCACATCAATTGCGCTGTTCGATGCCGCGTTAACACATCGATATATTAATGAAAAAGTTTTTGCGTAGTTTTTGCACACTTGTTTTTTTGCGGAGATGTCGATAATACAACGCCTACTCTGTTCTTGCCTTTCCCAACCCAGCCGGATCAGAGTAATGGAATGCAGACAACCCGCTACAGGTGTTTTGCCTGACTTTTGTATGTGGCGAAAATTGTTGGTTGAAGTTAATCAAGTTTCGTGACCGCTCGTTTTTATTCGTCACTGGAATTGTGTGTGGAGCGTTGTGTGAATAATAGTAAAGAAAAGGTCGTAAACAAACGAAGAAGGAAAGAAGAGACTCTTCCAACAGAAAAGTTCGTGTTTCAGATCGCACAAGTCTTTCCAGATCATAATTCTTCAGCCGCTCACTGTTTGCGGACCACTAAAAGTGATTGACAAGAAACAGACAAAATCACTTGGAAGCACAGCTACACATATAAACCTTTCAGTTTGCTAAAAAAAAAGCAAGGAAGATATTTGAAAAACCCTACATCGAGAATAACGCTCGGGTGGTAAGATGATGAAAAGTGAGACGTCAAAAGAGAACCACTTTTGTCTTGCTGCAAGTCCTTCGTACACGCACTAAGTGCAGCGTGCAAGCCGATGAGGGAAGCGTCATACATTTTTTCTTTTTACTTAACGCTTAAAAAAAAAAGGACACAACTTCTACGAATGATAGAGACAGAAAAGCACAAACCAATAAACACCAGAAAAGAGAGAAAGGGGGTAGCTGGACACACGAAAAATAGAAAAATGAAGGAAACAAGAAACGACAATAGGCACATCTTTTTCTTTTCGGAGGATCAGGCTGGAATGCACGTCTCTACTGTGCTATTAAACGAACGACACGATGGTGGCGGCGAGGGCAACAAACACGGCAGACAAGGTCGCTGCCTGCGCAGCGGCCGCGCTGGGTTTGATGTTAGGCAACGGGCAGTAGTTAAGAGAGTCCGCCGTGCACACTTGCGTGCAGCCGCTCACCGAGGCGGGGTTCATCGCTTTGGCCGCTGAGACGAGGTTCGACGAGGTCCACGAAGGCGGCATGCAGCCGCATAGCTTGTTGCCGCTGATGTCGAGGGACAGAGAGGAGGAGAAGGTGGACCAGGACGAGGCGAAGGTGCCGCGCATGTTATTGTTCTTGAACAAGGCAGACGTGAGGCTGGGCATGCCAGTCGCGTTCCAGTTCGGCATCCCGTAGCAGAAGTACGAATTGGAGAAGTCCGCCGTGACCAGGTTCGCAAGACTGCCGAGGGCGTCCGGGATCTGACCACTGAGCTTCGTCTGGCTCAGGTCCAGCAATGTCAGTTTCGAGAGCCGCGACCACGAGGCGGGAATGGTTCCCGTGATGCGCGGCTTGCCCTTCACCGACACACTTGTCACCTGGACAAGGTTGCCGTTGATGGCGTCTGCCACCTCCGGCAGTGTGCCAATGAAATTAAAGCCGGCCGACGTCACGCTGTCCAGGTGGATGCTGAGTGTGTTCGTTTCAGCGTTGCACTCAATGCCGGAGCGGGCGCAGATGTTCGGGTTTAACCAAATTATCTTCAAATTTGGGATGGCAGCAATCCAGGCGTTCAGCCAGTTGGCTGTGTGCACATTCACCATAATGCTGTCGGCTCGACCCGGCACTGCCGCGAGGAGGAGGGCGAAAAAGGCCACGAGACCGACCAGAGCAACAGCAGAGCGGGCCATGATGACAGAAAACGGAAGAAGAGGGAAGAAAGAAGCTGAGGGGCGGTTGGATGCGAAGGTGGAACACGAAGTCGCGTTAGACTGATGCACAAAGCGGGGATTGAAACAAAAGACAGAAAGAAGAGCAGGAGGAGAGGAGAACGTGGGAAGAAGAGAGTATGTGTCTGGTCATGCTTGCGTGACGAGGTAAGAGCTGGGTGCGGACACAAATACACACATGTAGATATCGGTAGAGCGAAATTAAAGATCGCTGTGGAGACAAAAGCCCACACACGAATCGCAGCGAAGACTTCTGTGACGCACACGGTAGACCCACTCTTGCAAGCACTAAATATTTTACTACATTCATTTAAGGGACGCACGATGAGCGCGGATGTGAGGAAATGCAAAGATTGAATAACCTACACCCTACAAATCATCACCTATCATAAAGGCAAACCTTTACGTCAGAATTACATAAATTTATCTTTCTTGGTTTTACAACACACTGTAAATATCAATAGTTAAATACATGCAAAGAAAAAAAAACTATTCCACAGACTCTACGAAGTGGGTAGCCCGCCTTACGCTTCCCCGCTGGGTGGGCGGGGAGTTCAGGGTTGGGCGGGTGGGAAAAACGAGAAAACGGAAGAACTGCTGAATTCTAGCAGTTGAGAAAGAGAATACAAGAAAAGGGGAAAAGAGAGGTAGGACGAATAATTCTTCAGGCTAGGTCATTCTATTCGCAAGCTCCAAGGCTAGGTCATTCCATTCGCAGGCTCCGAAAAAAAAAGGTTGGCAAATGGACTAAATAATAAAAGAGCTGCATAGTCCGGGAACGTCAACGAATGGTAGTAGAGAGGGAAATTGAGTCAACAAAGATGCTTAGTAACGTGGCAATGAAGGAGGCTTCCGACGCTTTTGGTAACGATGTAGAATTCTGGTGAAACCAGTATAGAACTGTAAGTTACCCATACACTGCAACATTATAAGAGATAGCATAACCTGAAGGTAAAATGTATTGCTCTTTTCTTTTCAAACAAAAAGATGATAGTGTGCTTTATTGAAAAGAAAGACATTCGACCGTAACTGGCCGCAATATATTGCAAGACAACGGATTTTGTAGTTGCAAAGTCTGCATTGTTTCCTTTTTATTTTTGAGATCACACGCCACATAGCTAAAAGAATAAGAGCTTATTTACCAAGCACATTCGGAAGCGTATTGAAAGTCGCAGAGGTGATGAGAAACATATTTCCTGACAGCGACGAGCTGCAAATAGAGCCGGGAACTGTTGACAAAAGGTATACCAGTGATAGTGGCAATCAGGGATAAAAAGATGAAAATGCAGTCAGACGTGAAGAGCTTCTATCAGCAACAAATAAACAATAATAGATAATAAGAAGAGTAATAATAATAATAATAATAATAATAATAATAATAATAATAACAGTAATAATAATAATAAAAACAATAACAATAATAACATTAATAATAATAATAATAATAATATGAGGCGAGGGTTTATTATTTGTGAGCTTTTCATAAAGCCAAACAAAACAATCAGAGAAAATAATAGGAAAGCAAAGCGTTAGGAGAAAAATCCTTTTTTACTCCTAGAAAAAGAGAGAGCTGAAGCGGGAAAAAAAACGTTGGAAACACCCGATAATAGTAACAGTTACACTATACAAATACCAGCGTTAGGAAATAAAGTAAAAGCTGCATAGACTTTGAAAAGCGTTGTTTTTTAACAGTGGTAGACAGCACGCAATGAATCACGCATGAGATCAAGAAAAAAAGAGTCGGAAGAGAAAAAACAACCAACAAATTTCCCGGTAGGCTTTCATTCTAGTTTAGAAGGTTAAAGGAAAAAACCGCATTGTTCGTGCAGACGCAAGAAGCAGAACGTGAAGAGACAATTGTAGGTAAACAATATACAATTTAGTGTGATGAACATGTATCTGATCGTGATAGACCAAACAACAGTTCCTAGCTTTTTCCTTTAGCAATATTCCGTTGCCTCTAAGCGAAGCCTCGAACAACCTCCTTGAGTGCCTTCCTAATTTGTGGGTCGAACATAACTGTACTTTTCGCAGTGGTCAAAACGTCTAATCGAACAGCTACATAGTTGACTAGTAAAAGTCTTGCATAAGGCTGCGATGCCGATGCGTGATCGGAACAGTAATTAACTAGCACTGCAAGTATACAAGAGAAAACGTCAATGAAAAAACTGCAACATTTACACATTATCCAACCGCACCGCGATCGTCATCCCGTGAGCACAAAGTCGTAACGAGAAAATATTATCGAAAGAAATGTTACACATTTGCTCTTTTCTGCCACGTAAATGAGAGACTCTAAACGTACAGGAGTGTGCTTGGGAAGGGAGGGAGGGGGGGAGAGTGGTGTTTTCGCAGTGGGAAACAAACGTTACAAGCTGCCCAACGCTGCAAAAAGCAGTGGTTTCTATTGCGCGCTATTCGGATTGCTTTGTTGTCCTTCTGTTGATGATCTAAGGCGTTAGGGAACAAACGACTCGTCGATAATAGAAAAGAAAACGTTCTGGTGCGCGATAAGAGGGCACTCAACAAGTTTCCTGCGCGTTACAAGAACTTTTGAACTTTTTCTTCTTGGGCGGTGGTGCTGCATCTCGGTTCGTGCAGGCGCCTTAAACCGCAATGAATGATGACGGATCGTGAGTGTTACGAAGTTGTAATGTGCAAATAGAAGCCAAACTGCGTAACTACCTTCACAAGATGCCACCGGCACGAAACCACCGCAGCTAAGGGTTTTCCAAAAAGAGATGTGGTAGTACGTGCTCTCTTTCTCTTATTTTCGAATGACTTCCGTCGAGCCGATGGGTGCAAGCTCTTATGAGCTGTCGCAACTTCTCACGCTTTTCTCACTCTCTGCTTTACCGTCTAACATTGCCCCAACTGCAGTTCATATTATTTCCTATATTACGGTAAGGCGAACATAATTACTTTTAATATTTTTACACTATGTTCGGGAACCTTGATGAGGAGAAAAAGGCTCGCTTGAGGGAGAAACTACTCAAAGCCGCCGCCGCTTCTTCAACGGCACCTGCGCATGTGTCGTCTAGCAGCGACAGTGATGGAGCGCAGCAGGTACCTCCGGCACACGATGCCAGCACCACCGCCGCCTCAGAGAAATTGAGGATAAACGCAAAAAGCACCGAAATTGAAATTTCAAACATTCGCCTGTTCACCCTCGACGAATTGGATCTGAACCAACTGACTGCGTGCACGGTGTTGTCGCTGCGTAAGAATCTTATTCACGAACTGACTGCCTTTCCCCAGCATCTGGCTGCACGACTTAACGAGCTGGATCTTTTCGACAACAAAATCAAAAGAGTGCGCGACTTCTTTGATTCGGCAATGATTCCCGATTCCACCACAGGCGTTTTGGCAAAGCAACCCCTTCCGCACGCTTTCACTTCCTTGACAAAGTTGGACCTGAGTTACAATCAGATAAGAAAGATCCGCGGTTTCGAATCACTTGGCCCTACGCTGAAAGAGCTGTACCTGGTAGAGAACAAGATAAAAGCTGTTGAGGGACTGGACACCCTGGTGAACCTGGAACTGTTGGAGCTGGGCGGAAACCGCATTCGTGAAATCGGCTCCGGGCTTTCCAATCTTACCTCGTTGCAGAAACTATGGCTGGGCAAAAACAAGATAACGAGAATCGGAACTGCACTCAATACCCTCAGCAAACTGCAGCTGGTCAGTATCCAAGCAAATCGCCTCCTCAGCATCGAACCAGACGAATTCAAGGCAGGGTGCAACCCACAGCTGAAAGAAGTCTATCTTTCCGAGAACGGAATCAGCAAGATTGAAAATCTTCCGCTGCACTCCGTTCATCTGCTGGACTTGAGCTTCAACCCAATCGAATCCATTAATGAAGATGTCATCAACTCGGCGAATATGCCAGAGCTCGAGGAATTTTGGCTTACTGATGGCAAGATCAACGATTGGGCTGAAGTGCGCAAATTTAACGCTTTCGAGGGGACACTGCGTACCATCTATGTCGAACGGAACCCCATCGAACAGGACAAACGCTATCGCGATAAAGTCTACATGTATCTGCCCTTTGTCACTCAAATTGATTCGTGGCCAGTGCTGAACAAAGACAATTTGGAGGCCGACCGCACGATTCAACGCAGGGTTGAGCGCAGTTGATTTTCTAAGTTTCCATTTTTCCCTCTACTATTGTTGCTCGTTTCTCTTTTCTCATATTGTGTTCTTATCCCGAGATATTCCCCTGTTTTTGTTTCTTTCAAGCGCATATATTTATTGTTGACAATAAGAATAAAAGAACACATTAAATAAAGCAAGAAAACAAGACTGTTTAATCGTAGAGGTTGCTGACAGATGACTTTATAGCCAACAAAACTGGACAGAAGAGTGCGGCCTCCTGTTGGGTTATACTCTTCTATGAGTTTTCCGTGCTTTACGGCGAGCAATCAAAAGAAGATTGTGTCCCAACGAGAGACAAGTGAAGTCGCTGCTGATCGAACACGCTCTTTTATTTCGACAAATACTTTTTCTCCACGCATTGTTAACGCCTATGTTTTTTTTTCTCTGGTTCACTTGTGTGTCAAATTGTGTTGTCGATCTTTTTCCCTTTTGCTTCATAAACTCTCGCTTTTTCTGTCTTTTTTTCTTACACAGTCGTGAAATCCGAATTGCTACGAAAGTCTTTTCCGTCCCACTTCATAGCATTTTGACGTGTGACAACAATGCAGCAAGTGCACCCTGATATTAAGAAGCTCAATGATCCGTTGAGGCTTATCCTCAAAGAACTGCAGGACATCGGCGAGAAGAAAGGTAAATTAATCGAGACCCGGCGTCAACTTGGTGGGCAGAAGAACGAGAACGAGCTTGTCCGTGACGAGCTCAACAGACTCGAGCCGGATGCGAGTGTGTATAAGCTGATCGGCCCCGCGCTTGTCCCGCAAGACCAGAGTGACGCCAAGACCATCATCGGGAACCGCCTCGATTATATCAACGGCGAAATTAAGCGCACCGATATCAGTATCGCTGACATAGATCGCAAAGAGAACGAGTTACAGAAAAAGGCCCAGGAACTGTATCGGAAAATGCAAGAGCGTCAAAGTCAGCTTGTTCAACAGCAGCAGCAGCAACAACAGAAGTAATAGTAAAAATCATGTAGTGCGATTCACAATCTCTACATTGGAGTACTCCTTCTTGCAGTTAGCTGTCGTTTGAAGGTGGTTTTTTTTCCTCCGAGTTGTTGTCGTCATGTTTAATACTAAGCTCTAAATCGAAGGAAAGGAAACATGTTGGAAACAGAGACACTAGTCTTAAAGCAAACACTAGGAATCAAGGAGCTCTCATCGCAAACGCACAGAAAGGTTCTTCTTTGTCACAGGACGAATGCGAAGTCTTGAGTCAAGAAAGAATTAGCACTTAAAGCAACAAGGTGTTTTTCTGAAGCGAGAGAGAGAGAGAGAGTAAGACATCTACGCCGCAAGCGCAGCAAAAGCCTCTGATAAACGGAGCTTTCAATAAGAGTAGTAGTAATAACGTTTTTTTTTTTGTATCTGTCTCGCGTATCTTGGCCAAAAATATGCTGCTCAGTCTTTTCACCTCTTCTACCTTTCGTTCTTGTCTTTTTCTCTTCCTTGCGTTCTGTTCGTTCTCGACCCTGATAGATTTGTTCATGAACAACAAGAAACAAGCGTGGGCAAGTGCCCACTCGCAGTTGTGGACGTCTCCTGTTCGGCGCTCCAACGGATCGCGTACGCAGTCGGAAGTATCTAGTATTGCGAGCCCTAATAGAGATAGATCGTTGTTAGATGACGTCGAGAACTTTGATCATACGAACGACGCGTCAGCCCTCAGCGGCTCCCACCTTCTCGGCAATCGTCCAAAGGAGAAAACACTTGTGCAGGTCTCCGACATCCTGGAAAGCTACGGCGTCATTGCCAAGGAGTCGGATATTCCGGCTGTGCTGCTCAGCGTCGTCAAGGAATTAGAAGAAACGAAGCGAGAGAACAATTTTAGAGATCTGCTTCTACGGGAATACGGAGATGCCGTGCGTCGACGCTTTTGCCTCTATGGCGAAGACTCTCCACCGTCAGTTGCCGAGGTGTCAAGGCGACTACGTAACGAATCTTCAGCGAACCCCGCAGCGGGGCCAGCACCTGTCTGGCTCGAGGAGCAGCTTAACGACCTGCGTCGCCTACTCCAGAAGGAAGCCCAATCTTGCTTTGGCGAAGAAATCGACTTCTCTTTGCCCATGCTGCTGCCTGACGCCGGACACACAAAGTCCAATATTTCGCAAGTACTCCAAAAGTGTCGGGAGGTGCTAGCGAGGTTGTCGAGCGAGTACAAAGGCGCGAAGCGTATTATTGTGGAAAAGCTAGACCAAGTGGAGCCACCAGAAAAGAGGCGAAGCACCTTCACTCTTGCCGAGGCCTTAGCGGAGCTCGACTCTAGTCAGTTGCTGGGTGGCCGTGGTGTAGCCGGTGCCCTGGCACCGGAATGTGAAAAAGGACACACCTTCAAAACGACCCTGCAGTCGATTATCGACACTGTTCCAGCCTCTCTGCAAATTCACTTTCAATTACAGGTGCACGATGCTCCAGTGCTGAACCAGTGCAACAACCTCAAGTTACTCCTCAAATTTCTTCTTTCGGAATACTTATCGACGGAACGGTACATGGAAGAGGTGGAGAAGCAACGTCTGAAGCTGGTGCACGTCTTCCGCTTTCCGTCTACTGAATGTGAAGAGGTAGCAACCGACGACAAAGCTCAGCTGGATGATGCGCTGACACGGTCGTTGGAAGCTTTGAAAAAGACAGTGACTGCCGTCATCACGTTCCCGCACCAGATTTCGGAAGCAGAAATCGCCCTGCGCCGCGCTTCTACGGAGGCTGTGGAAGAGCTTGCTCAGCTACTTGTGGAGTCGCGCCACGCAGGCAGCGTCGCTGGAACATCGGTGTCTTCCGGTGCCAGTGGCGGCTCTTCGATGGTGCGTATTGAGCCACCCACACGCGATCTTTCGGAGATGGTGTCGATGGTGAAGTCGCGCTTCGCCACGCTGCTTGCACAGCAGCAGCGCAAGGAGCTGGTGGGTGCGCACAGCCGTGTGGGCCTCGCACACATGGAAGAAGCGATGAGAGGTGTTGGCAAACAGATTCTGCAGCAGCTGCGCGAAATTTGCGCTACGCAAGACGAGACCCCCGGAGCAGAGCAGTTGGAGGCGCTGTCGGAGCTGATGGGCAGCGTCGACGCGGAGCGGAACCTTACTCCGACAAGACTGGATTGGTTTCTCAATGACGTAATGGAGCGGGTGCGCATGGTGAAGACAAAGTACCAGCGTGCGCTTAACGCGGCATCATCGAATAAAACGCGGGCAGACGCCGCCGCTCAGAAGTGCGCTGCAGCGCAGAAGAAACTGCACAAGGTCGCTCTCTGCGTGGAGCGTATTGGCAAGGACGGGCTGGGACTCACATTTCCATCTCAGCTCAGCAGCAGTAACGTTGATGCCGATGATGCCACGGTGCGTGGCGGTGGCGCAGCTGCCGAGAATGAAGGCGACCGCGGCGATAGCGTGAGCATACTTCGACGGTTGAATCTGCGGCCCACCGCAGACGCCGGATCGCCCGCCGGGGCAGGGGCAGGGAGAGAGGCGGCGCCCTCCGCGACGGCGGCCGCAGTGACGGAGGGCAACGTGCTGGAGGCATTGCAGTTTCTCGCGACGCGTGTCGGCGTTGATGGCGCGCTTCGCGATCGGGTGCAACTGGGCGAGGAGATGGAGGAGCTACGCAGCAGTCAGGCGCGTTGGAAAGCTGACACGACCGCCTTTCACGAGGCCATGTCGATGCTGATGCATCGCCTCGCCGGCAACGGGCAGCTAGTGAAGCAAAGCCTCTTCATGATGGGCACGGACGAATCCCCCAAGGACGAGCTGGTAGAGGAGGTGCTGCAGCGCGGTGAGGGCAAAGCGGCGACGGCGGTGGAGGTGGAGTACGTCGAACGGTCTTTGGCGGAGCTGCTGCAGAAGTACACACGGTGGGCGCAGCGTCTGCAGCAAACCACCGAGGACCACCTGTACACGCAGCGCAAGATTGTGAAGTACTTCGCTGCGGTGCGTCGCTTTTTCGCCGCCCAACCAGGCAAAGACGCGGCGCTGCCAGAGGACATCCCGGACGACAACTTGTACGACATCGACTCCTGCTTGATGCGTGCCGCCGACGTCATTCTTCCCGCGTTGGATGCCGCCATTCAAGGCGTAGAGGAGCAGCGTAGCGCGGCGACGGCAGCGGCAGCAGCCTCGTCGTCGTCACCGCCTGTGTCGCCGTCTACCACGGTGAAGGAGGGGCAGGCCACCCAGCGGCAGGACGCCATCACACAGCTGGTCAGGAATTCCGCGGCTGCCGTGGCGGGCGGGGTGCTGCCGTACGATCACCGCATTGCCCGGCTGTACGAGATGGTGGCGCGGCTGTACACGGCGGTCACCTCGCTGCTGCAGGTGCACTACCTGTGCATCCCCACGGCCGCGAAGCGGCGCAGCACCGGTGATGTCGAGTTGGTCTTCGACGGGGACAGCGAGGAGGACGGCTTCGTGGACATCGACCTCGACCGCCTCATGCGCGTCTCGCAATACCGCTTCGGGGCCGAGGGGGAGAGCTTTGCCCGCGAGGGGACGCAGAACGGTAGCGGCGGCACCAACACCCCTTCGCCGTCCACTGTGGCGGCCAACAACGACGTTCTCCTGCGTGTGACCTATCAGAACATAGAGGTGCTGCAGGACACATTGAAGCGCTTCAGCGCAAACCACAAAATGGCGGCCATTGTGCTGCAGAAGGACATGGATGCGGTGCAGCAGCAGCTGGCGTCGATGCTGGAGAAGTACAGCGAGGTGGATCTGGAGGTGGCATTCAACCAAAGTCGCGATGAGCTGCACGAGCTGTACGTCACGATGCGCGATCGGGCACGGGTGCAGAAAGGCTGCTACTTTTTTAACCGCGTAGGAGGCGAGGGCAGCTGCGCGTGGGTGACGGCGCTGGAGCAGCTGGGGGAGGGCTTCCGCGGCGTCGTGGACCGCCTCGTGCAGCGCACCGCCCAGGCGGCAGCGGACCGCGAGCTCACCGACGAAGTGGTTGACGTGTGTGCCATGTACGTGAACTGGGCGGAGCACCGCCCGCTGCCACCATCGCACGCCCTCCCTCCCGAGCTGCTGGCGCTGTGCGTGCGAGACGGCCAGGAGACGAAGGAGGCGACTGCCGCTGCCGCCGTGGGCGGGGCACAGACCCCTCCGCCGCTACCGTCGCCAACAGCGGCACCAACAGCGGCGCCAGCAGCAGCAGCAACGGCCACGGCGGCACAGCGGCCCCCCAAGCCGAACAACACGCCCTCTCTTACTCCTCGAGACTCCATTAAGCAGCAGCAGCAGCAACAGCAGGCGACGGCGCAGGAGGGACACGGCGCGGTCGTGGACGACGAAGCGACGGGACCCAAGGTGTCTTGCTTTGCAGAGGACCGCGCGGTGCTGAAGGTGATGGAGCACATGTTCCAGCTGGCCCAATACGCCACGGAAATGGTCAACGCACCCACACCCACGGCAGCAGCGGCGGAGACCACGGCCCATCGACTCACCGAGGAACTATCGCTGCTGCGCGAAGCCGTGGCCGTCGCGGAGCGCCACGTGGACGAACTCACCGAGGAGCGGCTGACGGTGGAGCGGCAGCGCGATCAAGCGCAGTCGGAGGCGGCCGTTGCTCGAGCGGAGCTGCGGCGGTGGAAGCGACTGCAGCAGCAGCAGCAGCGGCAGCGACTTCAGGATACGGAGCCGGCGACCCCGCGGCGGCTGCTGGACGCGGAGAGCGGCCGTGCCCCCGCTGGGACGTCCCCCAGTCGTACACCGCAGCCCTCCTCCGCCTCCGACGCCATCTCAGGCAAAGCCGCCATGGATGACGCCACCGTGCGGGAGGTGATGGCGTACATGAAGCTGCTGCATGAGGAGCTGCAGGCGGCAAAGCAGCGGGCCGGCGCGGGGGTGCGGCGAGAGGAGCACCGGCTGGAGGAGGGGGGAGACGACCTCGTGCGGTCACCGCCGTATCCTGTGGGGCTGGGCGGCGGAGAGCAGGGAAAAGCGCTCTACCGCGATGAGACCGCGCATACGCGTCTGCCGCCGCCGCAGCAGCCAAATCGCTACACCGCCCTCGCAGAGGAGCTGCGGCACCGCTACGGCTCTTCGGCGTTGGCGCCAATGGTGGTGGTCGACCCACAGACGCACTACGGCGCGCACCGCAGCTCCGCACCGGCGCAGCGGCGGTACAGTCCGGTGAAGTTCCACCGACCCGCCTACGACGCGTGCGATCGGTATTACAGCCGTGAGCTCGCTGGCAGGGGGGAGGGCGAGCGCGGGGAGGAGCGGGTGCAGCCGCAGGGCAGCAACAGCAGCAGCACGGGTGGTGGTGGCGGTGGTGCTCCTTTCCGCGAGGAGGGCGCGGCGCACCACGACCGATACTTCGGCGCCGGCATCGGCCGCAGGGCCGCTGCAGCACCGCAGCAGCGCTACCCGCGTTCGCTGTCGCGTGACAAGCCGCTTCGAACGCCAGCGGCAGGCGCAGCGGGCTTCGACACACCGCCCGCGCGCGTCTACCACGCACCGCAGCGGGCCACACCCGTCACCTCGCCCGCGCGCGTCTCGCCGTCGGCCGGCCGTTCGCGGTGTCGATCACCGTCGGCGATGGCGGGCCGGGCGAACACCGTACCCGGCAACGGCGGTTTCGGAGGGAGGCGCAACGACGAGGACGGGGCGGAGGGAGCGGAAGCTTTCTACGACGACGCCGACTGGCGCGTGCCGTCGCAGGCGCACCGCCGGCGGTCCTCGTCGTCGGCGCAGCGCCGCACGGCAGGAAGCAATGTGGACCTCAGCGTGAACTTGGCAGCAGCAGTGCAGCAAATCGAGGCGGCCACGCAGCAGGGCCGGATGACGCCGACGCCGACGCGGCACAGCACGCGCGCCCCCCTCCCCACCCGCGACAACGCCCCGGCCCCGCCGCTGACAACACCGGAGAAGATGAATCGCAATGCCAACTTGCGCGCGACGGCGCTGCGGCGACTTGCCGAGGTTGTGTCGAGGACGAAGGTGGTGACCCCGCCACGTGGTGCGCGACTTTGAGGAAGGGCGGGGTGGGAGGAACAGGCGCCCGCACAGCGCGCAGGTGCACCGGAGATGGACGTTGCCTTTTCCCGTTGACGGCTCTCCCGGCGTTTCTCCCCCTCTTGATCGAGCAGGGCACTCTCCGTCCACGGCAGCGGTTGTACTCCCTTCCGGTGAGACTAGAGCAAAGGCATTTTTTTTTTGTGTGTGTTTCGTCCCCTTGTCCTCTTCTGGTAGTGGTGCGTGTGGTGCGTGGAATGCCGACAGCACCCGTGCTGCCTCCTTGACAACCCCGGGGGTCGGCTTTCTCTGTATGGTCTTCCATGCGCGGCAGAGGTGAATCCGCTCGACTTCGTTTGCGCTGGCGTGCTTGCCAGAAGTATTATTACTATTATTGTTATCTATTACATTTTTTGTTCCATAGAGGGCGTTTTCCGCCTCCACCTTAATAGTTTTCTTTGTCTTCGCTTCTATTCCTCTTCCTAATTGGGCTGCCGTGTCAACACGCCCTTTGCTCGTGCGTGGTGGGCTACGGAGCAACCGAAGCTTGCGTGGGCAGGAGTGGCCGTTTTGATTGTCCGAGGTGCCAGCGAAGCGCGCGCCCGCGTTCGCCGCCTTCTGTCCGTGGCGCAGTGCCGCAAAGGGAGACGCCGAGGGCGGAACGTAAGAACTGGGAGCTGGTCCACAACGACGGCAGCACCGGCAGCCCCCCAAAAAAACACTTATCTGTGATGTGCAGCGCCCTCTGCTACCTCGTAAGGCATGTCCTTGAACCTCAACTGCCTTCTCGCTTTTACACGTCATGTTCACGTCTCTGCACCAGTCTGTCTTCACAGCACCGCACACAACAAAAAAGGGGCTCTCCAACTCTGGTCGGGCGGCACAGCGCAGCGTTCGCCCGGCAGTCAACGTACCGTACACTTGTACGCTTAAAGCCGACAACCTCCAGCGAAGGTGATCGAGGGAGGGAAGAAGCGGATTGCGCCCACTGTTTTTCTATATATATATATATATATATATATATTTATTTATTTTTTCCCCTACGCGTCCACCTGGAAATGCGCCGCGGCCTGAGCTGCGTCCCCGCGTCGCGCGGCCGTCTCCGCACCTCGCCGCTGCTGACGTCCGCCCGCTATCGACTCACCAACGCGAGCATTCTCTCCAACATTAAAAGCATGGCGGATGAGAAGGACGACCTCACGTGCAAACTCGTCTACCTCGCGCGGCGACAAGACGATGCCATCGCCTTTGCCGTGAAGGAGAAAGAAATGCTGGCCGAGAAGGCGAAGCGGCAGCTCGCCCTGGAGGACGAAAAGAGGAAGATGAAGGACAGAGTGGAGGCGCTGGTGGCGAAGGCGGCGCAGCTCGGCGGCCCGGCAGCGGCGCAGCGCATGCGGGAGGAAATCGCAAAGGACGAGGGCCGCTACGTGCGCTCCGTCGACGCCTTCGGCGACAAGACGGTGCGCCTCCAGCACTCCTTCTCCGGCCTCGCCGACAACCGCATCATCCCCTGGTGGGAGTACGCGTACTGGAACTACATCCGCTACTTCTTCACGCAGGAGCTGCTCATCGCGAAGGACCGCTTCGGCAACAAGTTTACCGTGACGTGGCAATTTCTGAAGGGCCGCGAGGAGCAGCGCCGGATGTACCGCCGCGACTCAAACAAGCGCCACCTGCCCTACGGTGCCCTCGCAACGGACGAGCGGCTGTGGGAGCGGTGGATGCGCGGACACCGCGGCGACCCGCCCAGCGTCGCCGAGGAGGAGCACCTGCGCAGCTACAAGAAGCAGTTCTTCGGGGCGATGGTTCTGGAGGATGAGGAGGTGGAGGACGCGTTGATGCGGCTGATGGCGCACATGAACCGCTCCCAGCAGACCTTCCAGGAACTGGACGAGGACCAGGTTTACGGCGACGCCCACCGCGCCACGAAGCCGCTGCGGGAGACGGAGCACAAGCCCGGCGAGGAGGTGGCGGCCCGGCGGAATCGCAAGGGCGCGACGTGGACACTCGGCTTCGCCCGCGGCGACCTCTTCTACAATGAGGAGGAGACGCAGGTGATGCGGCAGGAGTTGGGCCACCTCTTCCGCAACATGGAGTGGCAGGAGCTGGAGTACAAGCGGCAGGTGCGCATGAACAAGCAGCAGCCCCCACACGGCAAGCCGCCGGAAGGGACGACCGACCCACGCACCCCCGACGGCGACCCGATGAACCAGTACTGGGAGCGCACCGATCTGGGCATCCCGTACCACGACGCCGTGCCCGACCTCACCACGCCGGAGCTGGAGCGCCTGCACATCGAGGCGGACCAGTTGGAGGACGAGCGCCTCGCCATCCGCAAGGAGTTGGGGCTGACCGACCTCGGCGATATCCGCGAGGGACGGGAGCCGATTCAGCGCGATTACGCCCCTCTTCAGCCTCCGCCGGTGTCCTCGCGGTGGAAGCCGAAGTCGTGGGAGGAGGCGTGGGGTACGGGAAGCGGGATGCTCTACTAAGGTTTGCATGTGCATGTGCGCCGTTTTTGTTTGTGGCGCAGAGGTGGTGGGAGGGCGAGGTGGGGAAAGCGGGTGCGGCGCCATTGTCGCAATGACTGCCTTGGCCGCGAAGCCTCGTTGTAGACCCGCGGTGACGCGCATCGCAAGCGCGTTGGCCCGCCAAGGTAACTTCTTTGTTTCTTCTGTCCGCCCCGACGGGTGACGTGCGGTATATCGACGCTTTAGCAGGCGCACAGCGCGAACACAAACAGCAAAGGGAAGAAGCGGTTACGTGGAAGCGAACCGACAGAGTAAAAAGGAAAAGAAGAAGAACGTAGCGGAGGCGTTCCTTCTAGATGAAAGGCGCCTCCTTTTACTCTCAAGTGGCCGATTCCACCTTGTTTAACGGGTTTCAAAGTAGGCTGCGCATATATATGTGTATATTTGCGGGGTGCCTCTCCGCTTTTCGGAATGGGCTGCGTGTGTTCCTGTTGTGCCGCGTTCACGCTCTCTCCTGTTCTGTTTGACCGTCTCTTTATCGCGCAGTTTTTCCCCTTTTTTAAATTCTCAACGCTTCGCGACACGGACGCCGCAACACGCAAACAACACGCGCGGCGAATCATCTGGCCTGGGCTTTTTCGTTCTCGCCCTCTTCCTGATTCCCTTGGAGATCCCCGCGCTCTTCGGAGAAACACACGAACAAAACAGCGGTATCTCTTTCCCTCTCACACACACGCACACGCACGCACATACCCGCCATCGTTGTCTCACCGCACATCATGCAGTTTGCAGAAGCGGTGAAGTGCATTGGGAGGGACTCCCTCTGCTTCCACCCGGAGCTCAACGCCTTCGTCAGCTACCCGGCGCTGATCGGCGGCCACCTCGGCTACCTCGTCGTCGTGTCTCTTCTGCGCCGCTTCATGGCGAACCGCCTGCCCTACTCGCTCAAGACCCCGATGCTCATCTACAACACCGCGCAGGTCCTCGCGTCTCTCACGATGGCGGTCAACCTCGGCCAGTTCCTCCGCTTCGATGTCTTCAACCTGAACGGCCGCTTCACCGGCACGATTGAGTTCTGGGTCTTTGTGCACTACGCCACGAAGTTCCTGGATATGTTCGACACCTTCTTTATGGTGCTGCGCAAGAAGGAGGAGCAGCTCTCCTTCCTCCACGTCTACCACCACCTGACCATTGGCTTCATTTGGGGCCTCCTGCTGCACCACGGTATCGCGAACGGCACCGCCTTCTTCGGGGCGTGGATCAACTCCGCCGTGCACGCCCTCATGTACTTCCACTACCTCTACACCTCTCTCGGCTACACGAACCCGCTGAAGAAGTACCTGACGCAGGTGCAGATGGTTCAGTTTGCCCTGTGCATCCTCCATGCCGTTCTCGCGGTGGTGTACGACCGGCAAATCCCGAAGCCCTGGGCGGTGCTGCAGCTGTGCTACCACATGACGCTGCTGTACCTGTTTATGCAGTTCTACCGCAAAGGCATGCGTAAGGCGGTGAAGAAAGCGAAGGCGTAGAGGCTCGGCGAAGGTGCCGTGGACAGAGAGCCGCCGACGGGGCGAGGTCGCGACATCGCGCTCGCATATGAGCGTGCCCTCTGCGTCACGCCCCTGCAGGGCGGTGCGTGGAAGAGACGGGCTGTCTGGCCAGAAAGCCGCGGATATCGCTTGCATTGGAGGTGGAGGAGTGGCGACGTGCGTTGAAGGCACTCACGGGCGTGTGTGTGTGTGTTTATACGAGCGGCGTTGTTGCATCGGCACTCGCAGCGGATGAGGTCGGCCCCTGCTCGTGGGAGGGGGGGGGGGCGAAGGGGAGGAAGGCCTTTTACCTCTCCCCCTCTTGTGTTTTTGTGAGGTGGTGGTGGTGGTAAATGCGGTTATAAATACATATGTCGCTAAAGCAGCTGCAGAGGGAGAGCTGCACCGCAGCTGCAGCAGTCACACACATGGCGCACAAGAAGAACAACGCCCACATCAACTTCAACGAGAGTCAACGAACACGCACAAGCCGTATGATGCAGGGCCGTGTTTGATGTTAGTAAGGATTTTCGTTCTATGTATGCTGCCCACCTCCCCCGAAAAAGAGGCGATGGATGCACCGCAAGCGCAGCGCCGGAGCCAACCGCGATACGTCCTGCGTTAAAAAAAAAAACAAAGCGAGAAGGCAACATAAAAAGGGCTATATATATATACAAGTACATACATGGAAGGAGGGGAGAGACGCACAGCGAAGTCCCCACGTTGGTGCCTGACGAAGCGGAAGAAGGCGTCTCCTCATTAGGAAGTATCTCGTTTCTCTGTCTATCCCTTTTGCTGCTTGCCGGCCTTCTTTCTTTTCGGTTGTTGCTCTCCTTGCGCCGCGAGCGGGCGATTTACCCACTTGCAAAAGAGAAGAAGTGCGTGTAATGCGCGTGTGCGTGTGTGTGCAGCTCCTATCTCAGAAGTAAGGAAAATCAACGTAGTTGAACATCTCTGCTAATCTGGTTCAACGAACGCGATTATTGGCGGTTGACACACGAGTAACGTGCTCTCTCTCTCTTTCTATATATATCTTTCTATATATATATATATATTTATACTTATATCTCCAGTGCGCGAGGGATATCGCTCGTGCAGATGACATGTCGCGGTTTGGTGAGAGCGTTGTGGACTTGCTGTGGGCGGCGGGCGAAGGCGTCATCGACCGGCTGAAGTTTCTCTCCCGCTCCCTCGTCGAGGACGACGAGTACGTGCTCGTCTTCCTCCTCTTCCTCGGCGTGCCGGCGATCGTGGCGATGGGGCTCATCGCACGCGTGATTCGCCGCACGCATGATCGGGTGCGCTACGCCGCGGAGTACGAGGAGCAGGACGCGGACGCCTTCACCACCTCCAGCAGTAGCGCCGCGAGGTCGAGCTCGAGCAGCAGCAGCAGCAGCAGCGAGGACGAGGACGAGTGTGGCGCGACGGCTGCGAGGCGGTACACCATGGAGGAAATTGCCACCGCCGCGCGGCAGCTGACGGAGCAGGAGACGTTGCAGCGACGCAAGGCGAGGCGGGCTGCTGCGGAGGCGGAGGCGGAGGCGGTCACCTTGGAAGTGACGGCTGCTGCCGCTGCTGAGCCGCCGTCAGCGTCAGCGTCAGCGCCAGAACCGGCAGCTCCAGCCGAGGTGTCAGACCGGAAAGAAACGGCGAAAGCCGAGAAAGCTGCCGTGCGTGAAGCGCAGACCTCGTGAGCGAGAAGAGACGCCCGCTGCTGAATGGACCACACCCTTCCCTCTTCTGTTTTCCACTTCCCTCACGTGTTCCGGCTGCGGCGCTGCCCGACAGAGGAGCGTCTCTCTTCAAATTTTAGTTAGGAGATATATTGTTGCGTTTCCTCTGTGTTCCCATGGTCAGAAATGCGTGTGCGTGTGTGTATGTAGGGTGGGGGGTGGGGTGAGAGGGGAGGGGAGGCTGTTCTGTGAACCGCCCCAGCGTTTCCTCCACCTGACTGCCGAGGACTAGCTGCGCGAATTGGTGCTCACCGCCTTCTCTCTTTCTGACACCCATACACGCACACACACATTCTCATTGGCTGTTATCGCTGACATTGCTTTCCTTTTTTTTTCATGTTTCTTCATTTAGGTGTAGCGGTGCTGCTGCTCTTTCACACTTCTCTGTAGGACGAATATATATATATATATATATATATAGTATATATATATATAGTAGTAGT